TCACGATTATGTGATGATAGTTGGCGAAGATATTGATCTCTTGGTACTACTGACAGCTCTATCACCGCCTCGTTCGAACATATACTTTATGAAACCTAGCAAAGGAAAAACGGATGAAAAGATATATTCTCTCAACAGTTTGCAATTTCCGAAAGAGGTAAGATACAATATTTTATTTTTACACGCGTTCAGTGGCTGCGACACAACTTCCTCATTTTTTAGGCAAGGAAAGATGAAATTTGTCAAACTAATAAAAAATGACGAGAAATTGCAGAACATTGCCAACATCTTCAAGGATCCAGAAGCACATCCAGATGCGATTCATGCGGCTGGACAAACATTAATTGCAGCTCTATACGGAGAAAAAAACGAAGAGATCTCGTTGGATGAGTTGAGATTCCAGATATTTGCCAAATCATTATGCAAAAAGTCTGTGAATCTTGCGTCCTTACTTCCAACAAAAGCCGCGGCACGGCAGCATTCTCTAAGAACGTATTACCAAGTTCAAAAATGGTATGGAATTGAAAAGAATCCGAAAGATTGGGGCTGGAAGACTACTAAGAACGGTCTGTTACCTATTACTTCTACCAAAGACGCTGCTCCGCAAACGTTACTCAAAACTATCTCATGCAAGTGTACAAAAGGATGCAAAGCAGCTTGTAGCTGTAGAAAAGTTGGTCTGCGGTGTACCACCATCTGCTAAAATTGTCGAGGCCTATCTTGCACGAATGTAGATGACAGAATAGACAATGTAGATGATGATCTGGATATTGTCATTAATTCAGACCATTCCATAAACGAGGAGAATGAGGAATGTGCCCAGTATGACCACGACATTTATATTCAAGAGATTAGTGATGAATAACTTTGTCAACCTCCACGTCTTCAATATGAATAGACTTATCTTGGTGAGGTGGACTAGGCCTACAGGGGATACCACCTAAAAAAAACGCGTATGCTCTACCGCAAGGTGGTGTGGAAATGGGTAGATATAGTTGAACATCGGTCAAAAACATTTGAATTCATCAATAAACACAATATTCACTTGAAAAAAATCAAAAGTGAGAATTGTGTGATGCAAAAAGGGAGGTACGGCGACCGGACGATATTTCGTACGGTCGCGCGGAATCTCTGTACTTTTCTTGGTGATAGAGTCGAAACGGTACGTCTCAGCTATAAAATGTATGGATACTTTTTTATAGAGAATTTGGTTATATTCAAAAACGATGGGATTCATTTTTCTTGTAGGACAAATGGATACGGAGATATTAGACAAACACTGAATTTTTGTACCAATATGGCGGCCAACGCAGAGGGTTTTGGAGGGGGAACACTTAGCAGGGTGATTAGAACTCCAAAACGAAGCTTTAAACAAAAATTCAGCTTTCCTCTAATTATTTCCTCCAAAAATTCTCTACGGCTTGGCCTAATTGGCATCTTGAAGCGTCTGTCATGGTATGTTCCAAGATTTTTACTAAGATCAGTGTATTACTCTCTAATACACTGCCACCTTCAATATCTGGTAATGATTTGGTTTCCAGCCTGTAATAAATTGGTGAAACAAGTGAGGACACTCCAAAATAAAGCCATCAAAAATATATACTCACTGCCCTATAGATATAGTACAGTTAATCTTTATAAAAACTTCAATATTTTAAGTTTAGATAATATGTATGAACTCCAAATATCCAATCACATTCATCAAACCATTAACGGTCAAAAATTTTCAAATCTGTCATTTACGACATGTGATAGTTTATACTCATACAATACACGCAATAGCAAGAAGTTATTCTTACCCAATGCATCTATGGAAGCCTATAAAAAATCCATTTGCTTTAAAGGTGTTCAAATATATAATCAACTTCCTGTTGAAATAAAAGAATGTAACAGCAAATTATTTAATGAAAAACTGAAAAAATACCTTATGAGTAAATAGACGCTTTGAATTGGCTACATTTGTAATCTTTTCAAGATTTTTTGTAAAAACGCAAAGTAATGATAGGTAGTGACAAATTCTGTGATATAATTAGGCTATTATCAATACTACGCAACCAATGTACCTGACAAAATGTACTCTATAATTTTAATGATTCCTTTTTTTTTTATATGACATGTTTTTTTTAGAGTAAGGACCTCTATGAAAATGTAATTTTCCGTGGTTCAATAAAGACTTCTTCTTCTTCTTAAAAAAAAAAAACACCCTGTATACGAGAAAATGAAAATAAAACAATCAAATCCGACGTCCTGTAGCGGCTAAACATGGGCAAAACGGAGCGTTTTGGTATAGATAGAGGTAATAAGTTTGGTTCAATCTACTCACTTAGTCTTAGGAGTCTATGATATCATTTTGTACAGACCGTTCAGGGACACTCTGTATTTGGTTTACCTTTGGGTAAATAATGAATGTTGAATCTTTCATTGGTTGCATAGGAATCGGGCCTACGTGTGTATATACAGGGTGTTTCTTAAGTTCGTGTAGAAAATTCAGGAGCATGTTGCTGACGTCAAAATGAAAAGAAAAGTTCCTATAAATATACAGGGTGAGTCATTAGTGTGGCAAAGTGAGATAACGGCTTTACAGTTTGAGATAGATAGACAAAAGTTCCAGAGATGATCTAGGATCATGAGCAGCACATTTCCAAATTATTTCGCTTCATACAGGGTGACTCAGAAATGCGTGGCGTATCAAAGTTATACTTTTTCTTATGGGACTCCTGTATTTCATTTCATTTTCGCATTCTCCTTTGTGAGCTGATTTCATCAATGCATCACACTTGGGGTCTAGCGAGAATGATTACAGAGCTATAGGGTGTTCAAAATTGAGCTTTTTCAACTTCAGGATTTTTTTTGCGTCGAAACTATTCATTATTGAAAACGGTTTTCATGTCCCTATCCCAACTTTTGATTTACTATCTACTGACATTTAATTTTTTAATTTTTATTCATCTATCTCAAATAGTAAAGCAGTTATCTCACTTTGCCACACTAATGTGGCCAATGCAGTCCAACTTATGGCTAACTATATACAAAATAGGTGCCAATTCGTGGAAACAACTGTCGGACAGTCTGGGAGGGAAAATATGACTTGTGGTGTTCCCCAGGGATCTATACTAGGCCCATTGTTGTTCAGTATATACATTAATAACTTTTTATCGAGAATAAAGACTTGTAAATCTCACTTTTATGCTGATGACACAGCTATATCACTCATTTTTTCCTGATGATTGGCTATTGGCGCAACAGGCAATAATAGAAGACCTGGATCGGCTAGTAAAGCTATCGACACTGCATTCCTTAAAAATAAATGCAATGAAATCAAATGTCATACAAACAATACATCGAATCTGTTATGAAAATACAAGTTCAAGGTAAAGAATTGTCCTTTGTTGAAAATGTAAAAAATTTGGGTTTGTACCTGGATGTAGATCTTCGTTTCAAAAAGCATATTAGTTATTGTATTCAAAAAGCATATTATTGTTCCAAGAAAATGCTTTATCCTCATAGACACTTGCTATCAACTACAACCAAAAGGATGTTGAGTGATACGCTGGTTCTAAGTTATTTCAACTTTTGCGATGTATTATACGGACCTTGTCTGGACAAAAGTGACATAAATCGTGTGGAGAAAGTACAGAAATCCTGTCTCAGATTTATCTATCAAGTAAGGAAAATTATTTTTCTTCAATTTCATTTCCAAATTATGGCCAAAAAAGTGGGTACAAAGAAGTAAGGAATGTAAGAGAATATTGAATGAAAGAAGAAGAATTCACTGGCGTATTTTTTCAGATATTACTACTTAGAAGCGACTTACGAGCCCCATGGAAATAATTCAAATGCATCGATTATTTCAAATCCCAACTCGAAAACAGTTGCTCGCAGCGACCTCTACCAAGAATATATTCCTTACTCAAAAGTGTTCTAGAAATCTATTTTTCCATCATAAAACGTGATACAGGTACGCACAAAAAAGTAATGACTTCTCAAAATACTCATAAGACATGTAGGTGGCGCGACCCCCACGAAAGAGACAAACCAACATGAAATTTGATATTGTCATTGAAAAATACCCCTAGAGACCAAACTTCATTCGAATATCACAATTATTTTGAAATTTATTAACAAAAACCAAAAATTTGAATTTAACTTTGACACTCTGTATCTCAGAAACTAATAACTTTCGGACAGATATTTATATGAACTTTTCTTCTTATTTTGACGTCACAGCAACATGCTCCTGAATTTTCTACACGTACTTAAGAAACACCCTGTATATATTGCATATCATTGACACTATTGACAGTTTTTCATTATTCCCTCGAAATTTTTTTTCCGTCGACTTCGTATTAACGACTAAGTTTAATGTATATGAAATCGTTCATTAATGACCCCTATTAATGGACGATTTGTCTATTAATGCACGATTGTTTTATAGGCAACCAAACATACACCGCGTGCATTCATTGTTTATGCTATAACTAGCGGAATCTGCATTTAAATCGAAAACATGGATTTCATCGACGATTTTCCGTTAACGGGTTCGCCTTTCCAAGTTTCTGACACGATTTTAATCCCTGTTTTCTAACAGAAGGAATTTATTTCCTATGTTGATCATTTCGGCAAATGTCAAATGACACTAATGTCAGTAACAAGGCTACTGGGTGATTCTTAGCAGTTTCCGGATGGATGATGAATTCGCGAACCAAGTTTTCTTCATTGCAGGAGAAATGAGAAACATAGTCGACGGAAAAATTTTGTAACCAACTTGTATATTAAAAGGCGATTAATGATCTCGAGCATTAACGCACACACGCCACAAAGTTGTGGAGATGACTTTGGGTTTTCATCTATGAAAGTGTCACTTCTTATTAGAGGAAATCCTTGAATAATGGCGATTTCTCAGATGAGTGGTGGAAACCGTAGTTATTTCTGTGGAGGAGTACTAAAGGATTATGGTTAACATCTTACGATGAACAAACAACATGAAACATGGAACAAGTAAAATAAATATTTTATTCAATACATTTCTCGCTAACTAGGTTTTGTGGGTTTGCTTGTGAAATACTGTGATATTTTCGTTTTTGGTATTTTGAAAGTGTCTTGATTCGATATCGTGTTGTCATTCGTGCTGCATTCCGTTTTTCCTACTACACGACCCTTACCCGTCTTCTTGAAACTGTCTAATTTTGAAAGAAATGATTCTTCCTGATGCCCTTCCTTGTGATTGTTATTAGTATTACCGTCTATCCTGTCTATCAGCTCCATTATATTCGTTTTAGGCATTTTTTCCAAGACTTCCTTTTCCGACATTTTCGCTTTTTTCGTCTGTTTCTTCTTGAATTTGATTTCTTCTGGAGGAGTCGCATCGATGATATCGTCATCTATTTCCATATCGTTAGTTTTCGTAAAATCGATCTTTTCTTCACGAATTTCGTCACCATTTCTTCGGCCTTGAAATGATGTGGACGGCTCACACTCTTGCTTTTTGAAGACCGTTTTGTTTTGACTAGAGGAACAGTGTCCATTTTTATTTTCTACCAACTTTTCAATTACAGGTTCCTTTTTTTGAGTGATATAAGTTTGCTGTATGAATAAATACAAGCTTGTGTCGGAAAATCCGGATGGCGAGAATCCACACAAAATCCTCCACAGCTGTTCTGAAACAAGTAATACAGAGTGTTTCGTCATAAAACTATCATACAGCCATCGCGATACATGGAGACACGGTATGGCACCGTTTTCAATAGTTATTTATGTATTAAGGGAATTATGAGGGCCTTAATTACCGATGGCAAAATTTGCGTCCCGAGGGCCTCTGGCCCGAGGGACAGCAATTGCCAGAGGTTATTAAGGCTCTATAATTCCCGTGGTACATAGATAATTTTATTTCTGACCGATTTTCATAACAATATGTCCATATTTAGAACGCAATAAATGTTTAAATTCATAACCTTTCTGGTATATTTGAATTAGGTAGCGTTGATTGTAGCATTGTTGGTTGTTGCTAGGTTGTCGCTATGTTACATGTTTATTTTTTTTAAGCGGCGGAAGTAATTTCCAGGGAACATTTGAAAATTGTACATTTATTATTTGTGATGACGTGAATAAGGAAAATATGTCTTAGTTTTCATCACATATAAACGTTTATAAGCATTTCTGGTATCATTCTCACCTGTAAAAGGTAAGAGGGAGTTTTTGAACCTTAATATCCCAAGGGAGTTATGACCCTCATTATAGATATCGTAACTATGACGATATAAGCTTTCAATGTCACTGTCAGAAATAATAGTTATTTATGTATCAAGGGAATTATGAGGGCCTTAATTACCGATGGCAAAGTTTGCGTCCCGAGGGCCTCTGGCCCGAGGGACAGCAATTGCCTGAGGTTATTGAGGCTCAGTAATTCCCGTGATACATAGATAATTTTATTTCTGACTGATTTAATTCATTAGATACCTTCCCGATTGGAAGTTAGACATGTTTTTCCGTATAGTTTCAATGTCATCAGAACGTCAGATGATGATCTTGACTACCGCGAATAGGAGATTCCTTATTGCTACGTTACTGCGTGGTTGTTGCTATGCATTTCTTATTCAATTTTAGTTAGAGGGAATTATAGCATCTATAACATCCCAAGGGAGTTATGACCCTTATAATAGATATCGTAACTATGACGATATAAGCTTATAATGTCACTATCAGAAATAAAAAAATATATTGCCCTGCTAAGCGAAAGTGCCGTATGTAAAGTGTGTCCAGTTTTCGATGCTTTTGCGATATCTCAGTTAACTTTGGAGATAGAACCTTCCGGTTTTCGCGGTCCTGTGCCACTTTTTTGTGAAACTCAAGATGGCTTTATCAGATTTTGCATAACTGTTTCCGTTTTTGAGATACAGGGCGATTTTGAAAATTTATACTTTTTGGACCCCTCTATATCTACTGAATTTCTCAGGGAAAATGTCGATTCAAAATCTTAGCCCATAGAAAATTTACGCAGAATCCAGTAGCGCACTCAATTTTTTTTTCGGGGTATGGTTTTGGAGTTACGACTCAAACTTATGATTTTTTAAATGGAACACTGTATTTTATCAGCTCATCAAATTCCGTATTTGTTTTCATTTAAAATGATTTATAATGCTTGAATATAAAACTTTCAAAACTGCTCCAAAATCACTAAAATATTGCGTTTTTAACGGATTGGATGGATTTTTCATATAAAAAAAGTTCCAATTGAAGGAATATTTCCTTCAATTCCTCATGAAGAGGACAAAACCAATACCAACACTAATAATTAACTAATTAAACAAAAAACTTTGTTACCTGATAGCAACAAATAAATAGTAATAAAAAGTTGATGATCAATGAATAAGTTACTGAATAATTTCGAAATTCAATTGTTTTAGTAAATATTTAATCAGGTGCTCATTACTATTCATTTGTTGCTTTCAGGTACCTAACTTGTGTCTTTTGTTAGGTAATTAGTGTTGACATTATTTTTGTCCTTTTCATGGAAAAATCGATAGAAATATTTCTTAAATTGGATATTTTTTTATATGAAAGTCATAGCCCACTATTGAATTTCAATGTTTCAGTGATTTTTGAGCATCTTTGAAAATTGTATATCTATACATCTATACATCATGTATTATTTTGAAGGGAAAAAAATAGAAATTCAATGAGCTTATAAAATACAGGGTGTTCCATTTAAAAAAACTTAAGTTTGAGTCTTATCTGCAAAACCGTACCCCGAAAAAAAAAACATTGAGTGTGCCACTGGATTCCGCGTAAAATTCTCTATGGGATAAGATTTTAACTCCACATTTTCGCTAAGAAACTTCGTAGATATAGAGGGGGTTCAAAAAGTATAAATTTTCGAAATCGCTCTCTATCTCATAAACGGAAATAGTTATGCAAAATCTGATTAGGCCATCTTGAGTTTCAAAGGAAAATGGCAAACGACCGCGAAAACCGCAAGGTACTTTCTCCGAAGATAACTGAGATATCACGCAAAAGTATCGAAAACTAGACACACTGTACAAATATGACCATTATGAGAATTTTGGATAGTTGTATACTACAAAAATTTGTTTCTCTCTGTACTAATAGTATGAGAGCCGGCTGCAAATTTCGATCGTCATTTAATAACGAAATACAGGGTTGGGAAGAATTATGGAACCAGTGAATATCTCGGTAACCGTTTGTTAGATATTTTTGAATATATGTACAGTGTGATTTCAAAACGTGGTGGATTTGGAAATGTTATCGTCGATATTGCCACTTTTTCAGTTATTCCGAAATTATCATCAACTTCCTTTTTTTAAATAGTACACCCTGTATTTTATTGAATTTTCAGATTCTCCCTGAAAAGCTGATTTCATCGATTCATTACACTTGGGGTCTAGCAAGGATGATTACTGAGATATAGGGTGTTCAAAATCGAGATTTTTCAACTTTAGGATTTTTTTGTGTCGAAACTATTTATTATCGGCCAAAACGGCTTTCTTGCCCCTATCTCAACTTTCGATTCGAAATTTTGGAAGACATCAATGCCTTAGATGGTGGTTCTCTTCAATTTCTATTCATTATTATTAGCTAATATGCTGACAATTTTTTCTTTTAGTTGTCAATTCCCCTGTTGCAATAATAATCACAAGTCATTTATTTATCATTCCCATTTGCAATCCTTCTCATGAGAAGGAATGCGAATGGGAATGGAAATGGGTTTGAATGCGTATCAAAACGTATACAATGCCAAGAACCAGATTGAGTTATGGCACAACAAAACGCACCTAATGACTCTAGTATAGCTAATAGAAAACAAACCCACTTATCGTCACTCCCTTCTCACTCAGGAATTGGTATATGCCGTGAAAGTCCCTGCGCAGCTCCTCGTCGCCGAACGAGTAGTAGACCAAATTCCTTCCTGCGGCGCAGCACGCCATCAGCTGCAGCAGCGCCTTCAGGTAGGCGCTGCCGCGGAAGGCGCCGCAGCCCCAGTTGCCGGTGGCGACCGGCGCTAGATTGCACTTTTGTCGGGAACTGAAGCCCACGTACGCCTGCAAATCATCAACCCTTCAAGTGACAACACTTTTTTTTTCATTTTCAGTGATTTTTTTTATCGCTTGGAGCGCACGAAAGGAAATCCCTATAATGTTCAAAGAACATCGTGCGTTCCTAGGGAGGATAGGGACAGGAGGTAGGTATTGAATTTTTTTTTAACTTCTGGAGATTATATGTTGTTGGAAATACTTCCTCAGGCAATGAATTCCAGAGCCTAGCCGTTCTATGGATGAAGGAGTTTTGATGAAGTGCTGTTCGACATCTTTCGAGGTTGACAACGAAAGGATGTGCTGACTGGGCTTGTCTAGTCTGACTGGTATTTCTAGTGAAGGGATGATAGCAGGAAATTTCCGAAGAACATTTCCCGTGGAAGTATCGATAGAAAAGTGAAAGATCGCCGACCAGGCGAATGGCTCTTCTCTGGATGGAATCTAAGATCATCAGCGTATGTTTTGGTGCTGAACCCCATATGGAGGGTACTATCATCTGCAAAGCTGTGGATGGGGCAAGTTGTTACTCCAAACAGATCATTGATATGAAGAAGGAATAATGTTGGTGCCAAAATTGATCCTTGTGAAACGCCGGAATTGATGCCAATGGTATCAGACGATACACCGTCCACCACCACGTGGAGCGATCTGCCTGAAAGAAAACTCGATAAGAGATGGCATAGCTGAGGTGGTAAGCCGTATGATGGTAGTTTGTGGAGCAGTCCTTCGTGCCAAACACGGTCGAATGCTTTCGATATGTCCAACGCGACGGCCAGAGATTCCCCGTGTTTTTCTAATGAAGGTTGCCATAAATGAGTGACGTAGGCAAGTAGATATCCAGTAGATCTTCGGTTGGGAAAGCCGTATTGTCTATCATTGATGATTCCTGAGCTCTCCAGATATTTGATATTGATGGCTTTCTCCATCACTTACTGAACAGGTAAAGGGGCCTGTAGTTGTTGGGCAGGTTCTTGTTCCCTTTTTTGGGGATTGGTTGGACTCTAGCTGTCTTCCAGCATGATGGAAAAATACTCGACCTGTACGAGACGGTAAACAACTTGCAGAGAATCGGTGTTAATTCTGGTGCACATTTTTTGAGGATAATGGGTGGAATTCCATCAGGACCGTTAGCCTTATTTTGATATGTAGACCTTAGGGTCCCTTGAAGCAAACTGACGTATTTTGTCATCTAACAGGGTACGGACAGATCATAGCTCCTTTCTCTTTCATTCATCTAGTGACTTTAGTTTCGTGTATTGGCGTCCCTGACATGACATTGCTGTCACGTCTCATTCATAGGCGTTAAAAGAGATCTTACAAAATTCAAATTTCATGCTTTATCTTAATATGACATTATTCACTTCTGTTTTGGAAGGATGGTAAACTGTGCTGCGTTAGGCTGTATCAATCAGTTGGATGGAAAATTTGAATTTGTCAGCTTTCCATCAAATGCAAATGAACTTAGAACATGGAAAGTGAAGTGACCGAATGGAAAAAATTGGTAAATACATCAGCAAAATATTCGAGGTAAAACTAATACGAAATCACATATTATACTTTCCCATTGTGCCTATAATTATCCACTCCACAAGTTTTTGAATGCATTTTAATAGAAACAGTTTTGATTAAAACGGAGGATTAAAAGAAGAAGCATATGCCCTACCATTTAAAAAATTATACCTACATTCAGGAAATATTAGGTGTTCGTGATAAACTGCAGAAATGATTCCCAACATGAATATATACAGCACACATGACATATGAGCACATTAGTTTGAATAGCTACATTCGATTTTTCACCAGTTCTCAACCATAAGGCTTAGTCTAAAATCAAAATTCATTCATTGATAGGTACTGCCTAGGAACAGTGCCATTTGGTAAAACGTATTAAACTTTCAGAAAAATTTGCTCACTGCCTCACAGATTATGCTGGAGTTGAAAAATCAAAAACTCGAAAATCATCGTCATCATTTGGATATAATCTGTAGTGTTTAATGAGAAATTACATGTGGAAATTACGTATGATACGCCAATGTCCCAATATAACCTGAAAAACAACAAATGTCAGAAATCGAGTGTTTATCCCCAGAAATGAATGAAGATGGAACTCTTCAAACTGAAATTATCAAATGTATATACATACTGAATTATTCGGAACCTACTATGAACCTTTACAGAGGAGTTATTAGATATAGATTCACTATATAAATTCAAATTAATGTCGTTCATTCATTCAGTTAAACATTGTCAAAAGCATTCAAATTTGGTTTTCCAAATCAATAGTAATCACCACAACCATACAACTAGAGAAGCAGATAATTTTTCTGTCAGGAAAATTAAATCAGATATTTGTCAAAAAGCCATCTATCACAATGGAATGATACAATACAATTCACTACCAAATGAGTTGAAGCTGATTAATAGGATTGAAAAATTTAAACAAAGAATTCAAGAAACATCTACTCCTGTAATATTAACATCTTATCTCATTTTTATAGTTTTCTTGTACAACTACTATAGTTTTCTATTGGGTACCTAACAGCTGAGTCAATTGAGAATCATTTTCATTTGAAGTTGGAAAATAAAAAAAAAGATTATTTTTCAGTGTGAGTCTCATTTTACTGTCTTCTTTATTTCATTTTGTCAAATATATTTATGTATTCACCATGTTCCCTGCTATAAACAAATGTTGTTTTGGGGAATAATAAAATTGATTGACATAACTGTTTCACAAACACTTTAGAGTGAGAGGAGACGAGGATCTGTCCGTCCCTGTTAAGATGACAAATACGTCAATTTACATCAAGGGACCCTAGTAAACCTGTCAAGGGTAGTGCATGGAACATGAAAAAAAAATATTGAAAACATTCAAATATGTCAATGTCGCAAGAAAACCCCATAGGAATGGTGGTATACAGGCGAATTCACGGTGGATGGCACATTAGACGTTTCTGGAGAACGCAACTCGGTTCTGATTAAAAGAATCACCTTTTCCATTCGCCAGCGGTTTTTGTAGATCACAGATGTATGAGATAATCTACCATTGTGTTTTTTCAATTATGAAATTTTCAAATGTTTCACTGTGTATTAATATTTCCATGAAAAAGCGTTTTTTATTCATCACTCAATTGTCTTTCCATCAATTTCAGTTTCATTTTTTTTTTCTGTGACGGGAAAAAAGTTTGGCATTTCATCTCTGCTGGCATAAATGTACGCGACGATTGTTGTCACACAACCTGGAGATAAAATCTACAACTTTTTTCCCTTGTATAATAAATAACTATTATTAGATTGAACTATTGAAATAACTACTTTTTTATTCTTTGTGTAATTTTTGTATCTAGCTTAATTTTTGAGGAAATAATAAAAAATCGATTTGACTCAAAATTTTAATGTAGGCGTGTTTTCAAGACTTTCATTGACATTACTCAATAACCCCAATTAGTATCAATTTGAAATTTCGAGGCTTTCTCAGTCTCCAACCATACTCAATTTTGGCACCATGAAAGCTTATACAGGGGGGTTATAAATAAAAACAATTGATACTTGATATGGACTTAATTTGCTAGAATAACACAAGGAATCACCCTTTGAATTTTTCCGGTGTTATTTAGATACACCCTGTATATGGTGTTCTATCCAAAAAATTGTCGCGGTCGTCATTACTAAAACGTGGATCACCAAGTTGAAAACAAAAGTCGACCTGTTTCAGGAGATTTCTCATAAATTGACAGTTTTGCTAAAAATGAATTTATGCGTACGTACTTTACGAAAGCACTGTATATTAGCCCTCATTTTGGAACAGAAACGGACAACTTTGAAGACAGGTTGCAGACGAAAGACATGTATGACATCATATATCTTTGGATTTCTCACCTTATTCAGTTCTCTCAACATCGCAGAAGGTCGAAACTGATCCCGAGGCTTGTTGAAGCGAATGGCATCAATTATACAGACTGTCGTCCTCCTCCTGCCATACTCATCGTGGGGAGTTTCGTCTATGAAGTTTCCATCGTATTCGAAGGAGTCTCCGTATCCCTTGTACTTACTATATCTTTCAACACCTGTTATGATAAAATAGCACTTATATACAAATGGAAGCAACGAATATATAACAATCTATATTTCATTCATTATCAATATCAATAATGATGTAGACTTCACTTAACATGGCGGAGATTAGCTTATAGCTATTTTTCCACTCCAATCTAACCTAATCCAACCTAATCTAGCCTAGAGTCACTGGATGGTATTAGTTTGATAAGAGTTCGGACACAGCTGAACTTTGTCCTTTTCTATTTTCTATAATAAAATGGTTTAGGTGAATAAAAGAATGAGACATATATTCTGCTCTTTGTCTTTTCAATTTCCCTAGAAGCGCCTGATTGTCAAATACGATTTTAGAGGTTATATTTTCTGTCAAATCAATCATAGCCGTAGATGGACAATGGATATAGGGTACAAACACCCACTTCAATTTATAGTGATACACTTCTAGCAGAACAAATATATATATATATATAAATGAGAAGAATGCAGTACCAACGTCTTAATATTAGAAAATATACACATATGGATAAACTTATAGCTATAAATCCTTATTGTATGTCAAACTGTACTCCAGTGATAAGTATAAAACATGAAGTTATTAATATTTAATTAAAGGTAGGTATTCTCAATATACAGGAAGTAACATAAATACGTTCAAGTGAAGTATTCCTGAGACAATTTTAAGAAATAAAGTCTATAATAATATAAGCTTGTGTCCGGAAATGTTTCATTTTGGAGATACAGGGTGTTGAAAACTTCACTTAGCGCCTTAGAAGCTATAATCATCTAAGTAACATGGATCGATATACCAAATACATTTTTCTGAAAAGTTCTCAGCAACTTCACTCAGCGCCCTAGGAGCTAAGCATCTAAAGGTGACATGGATCGATACAGAAAATATCTCCAAAACGATAACCTCCAGCGTTCCCTTGATACATAAATAATTATTCACTTTTCACTGTTGAATTTTGAATTTGATCGGCATCAAAAACGCCATTCAATAATATATCACGTTGTAGTTTCCTTGCATTTCTTAGTTTCCTCTTTCCATGGTTATTTTGTTCTGTATTTTGTGTGATGATAATAATGGAATTTTGAAATCGTCTGCTTCGTAAATTGATGGAATAGCAGATTCTCTCAAACAGATTTTGAAATCGTCTGTTCGAAACTGGACCTAAAATATAGTTTCATTCTGTAATCAGATGCTGTTATAAGAAGCTAAATTTAATGAGTACCTCACAAATTTCGCTCGTCTTGAAATTGATTTTCCACCCAGGCCGTTTCATATCTTCCTTCCATAAGCAAATGGTTGATATTTGTTTTGGAAAATTGAATAAATGATATCCATTTTATCAGATTTGGCACAATTTATTACACAGCAAGTGATTTCCATAGCTGCTTTTTTCTCAAAAGTATAATTATTACATTTTATTTCAAATCTGACGTTCATAAAATTTATTGACAAATTCAAACAATTATTTCGAATAAAAAGCGCGGGACGACTATGGTGCTATTGTCACAATGCAAGGTGTGTAACTTATTGAATCTAAACATTCAAAAACCCTAACAGTTGTCATTTCTGTGTCCGAACTCTTATCAAACTAATACCATCCAGTGACTCTAATCTAGCCTAACCTGGTTAGGGCATAGGTCATGAGCACATTTGACAGATGACCGACCCTAGAGGTGAAACAACATCCCTTTTTATCTTCAGGAAAGAATTAAAACTGTTTTAATCTTCTCCTGAAGATGCTAACATAGTTAGCGGAACACGTGTCGAGTTGTAAAAAATCAGTTTGGTGTTTCTTGGGCAATTTATTTATTCAAGCATACAATCACATTGTGCTGTTGTACAATGCATAAAAAATGCAGCGCGAGACGAAGGAATGAAATTTTTGAGGTCAATTGTGATCTAAAAGTACTGTAGTCACTCACATAGTTCTCATATGAAATTGTTTTGATATTTGTTTAGAATTTCTTCTGAAATAAGAGCTATGATAAGAGTGAAAATGTTTGAAACACACACATCCATATTTCGTCAGCATTTCAGAACAGTCTTCCCGTTTGATGGCAAGAATCCACTTCTTGCCTTATTTTAGAAACTTTACAAGTCTTTTTATTAGCTCTTATTACAGAAGAAATTCTAAAGAAAAATGACAAAATTTCAATATGAAAACTATGTGAGTGACTACAGTACTTTTAGATAACAATTTACCTGAAGAATCTCATTCTTTCGTCTTTCGCTGCATTTTTGTGCATTGCATAAGAACACAATGTGCGCTAGCATGCTCGAATAAATAAGTATCCCGAAAACCTTGATTCGTATGCCAAAATGATCGTGAAAAACTATTTCGATCCTATGTTAACAAATAAGAAAAGTGAGTTTGTTTCACCAGGGTCGGTCATCTTTTAAATATGCACGTGACCTATATAACTACCTGAATGATAACCTCAAATTGAGCTGTTATCAAACCAAGAAATAAAGATATTGCTCCTCTGATTACGAAGTAAAAAAAGTATAATTGAGATTTGATGACTTCAGAGTTTTCGATTAATTCACAAAATAAACCAGTAACACCTTTTCTGGATACTTATTCACCTTATTGAAGTCACACCAATTTATGAATGATTATTGTAATTTATATTTCTTTGTTGATTTCTTCGAGATTAGGTGATTGAAAGTAACACATTTTGCACTTTCTGGTACAGGGTGATTCATCATAAATGTCCCCCCCTCTAGCTCAGTTATTTTTGAACCGATTGCAAAATTCTAAATATCATCTAAAATGATTTCCGCTAGAGTTTTTTTCCGCTACATCAGAAAATACAAGGTGCTCGGAACGAACGATCTACAGGGTACTATTTGATTTTTTTAAATGGAACACCCTATTTACCATTGTATTTTTAGATTCACCCTGAAAAGCTGATTTCATCAATGCATCACACTTGGGGTCTAGCGAAAATAATTACAGAGATATAGGGTGTTCAAAATCGAGATTTTCCAATTTTAGGATTTTTCTGTGACAAAACTATTCACTATCGGTCGAAACGGCTTTCATGTCCGTATCTCAAGTTTTGATTTACTATCTACTGACATTTAATAATTGGAACAGATACAGGGTGATCAGAATTCTGAATCTTGAAGCACACTGTATATGTTCCAATTAAATGTCAGTAGATAGTAAATCAAGAGTTGAGATAGGGACATTGAAGCCGTTTTGACCAATAATGAATAGTTTCGACCCAAAAAAATACTCAAGTTGAAAAATCACGATAGACCCCAAGTGTGATATATTGATGAAATCAGCTCTTCAGGGAGAATCTAAAAATACAATGAAATACAGGGTGTTTCCATTTGAAAAAAATCGAGTGGAACTCTGTAGATCGTTTGTTCCGAGCACCCTGTATTTTCTGATGCAACGGAAAAAAAAATTTACGGAAAATCATTCAAGATGATCCTTCAAATTTTCAAATCGGTTCAAAAACAAGTGAGCTAGAGGGGGGGACATTTATGGTGAATCACCCTGTACCTCAGAAGGTGTGTTTGATAGTTCACTCACAGTATTTTTCTTCATGCAAGAATAGGTGCGTGACAGATATCAAATAATTACGTTTCTGGGGAACGTCAATTTTGTGATATAAATAAAGGAAATCGACTACCTGTTACTATCACAGCTTCTTGATCACCCAGTTGTTCCACAAACAACCTACTTATCAACAACTCCGGACATATAACGAATCTTATTTCTTCTTGAACACAACCATAACCTAGAACACCACCTCCCACATTTCTGAAATTGAAAATTTCAAGTTTATTCCAGAGAAAAGACAAGAACACTCATTTCAATAAACTTTCTTACTTGTTAGCAAAGTCCACTTGCAAAAATCCCAGTCCGTTGTCTTCGATAGTTCCGGAGCTGTCTACGTGTATTTTGGTGCTTCCCAAATCGCTATCTAACATATCCCACCTCGGCATATCAGCTTTGGGTATGAATTTTCTTTCGAAAGTCACCACACCAACAGGAACTGAAACATAACATTTTCTTCTACTCTCTTAACGAAATATTGATTTCATTTTCTATAGCAAAATAGCCAGGAAGAATCATGTTGTAATGATATTTCCCTATTATACTCTCTACACGAGGAGACAACTTTTTATTCGAAGTCATTGCATATTGTCTCGAATTCACGTCATTGTGGAGAAAGAAGTGTTAAAAAATTCTCAGAACACCAGAGCTAAAAGTGTGAAAAATAACACTGAAATTGAAATTAGACATGAAATACCAACTCTACCTACATACTCTAAAACCTCAAAATTCAACTAAACATTGTAATTTTACTGAGGTGACGTGAGTTTGTGAAAATTTAATATACACGCATTTTTTTCTTCAAAGAGAAATCAAATTTCACTGAATATAAGTATAACATTATCATCAAAAAAATAATTTAGTTGACTTTTTGAAGTGAACAATTGATTTATTCTTGAACTCTTGTGGGAGAGAGTTGTATATTTCAACTGCATTATAGAAGAAGCATCTCTCATATAAAGATGCCCAGACATCACGAGAAGACCTGTATTTCTAGTGAAACGATTATGAATTCCCGAAGTGAATGTTAATCGATGATGAATGTAAATAGGATGTTTATCTTTCAATACTTTGTGAACCAAGCAGGCAATATGCAATTTATGTCCATTGAACATATTGAGCCATCCCAATTCGCTAGGTTTACGAGAACTGTTTTGAGTGAGTAAATGAATCTGATACAGGAATTCTCAATTCTTCGAATTCTCGCTGACGAAACTGCATCTAAGCATGGACAGTATGCCAAATTAGCAAAATCAGTATGACTCAATACTAGTGATTCACATAGTTGCTTTTTCAAGTATACATTGGGATGATAAGGAACCTTTTAGATTCGTATCTTCAAAATAGGACAATCAGTACCAAATCTACCAACTCAGAGTCTCATAGACTACCGATGACTAAAGGTGTCCCTCAAGGATCTGTTTTAGGACCAATTTTATATTTATTATATATTCAAAATATCACGAAAATTGATACAGAATGTAATTACACTATTTATGCAGACGATACGGTACTTTTATATGAAAATAAAAATCCTATCATTTTAGAAAATATAATAAACAGAGACTTGATGAAATTTGAAAATTGGCTGCATTCAAACCTCTTATCAATAAATACTGATAAAACTGAATATATGATTTTTCAACAAAAAAATAAACAAAATATAGATTTAAATCTCAGAATTAAAAATGAATCTTTGAAACAAACTAATGAGAAAAAGTATCTTGGGATTTGGTTTGATGATAAATTGAAGTGGGACAAACATATAAATGTTTTGAAGAAAAAAATATCTCCTATTATTGGAGCCCTGAGAAGATGTCCCAAGCTGAATAAAAAAGTTGCAAATATAATTCTATATTCTCATATACTCAGTCGTATCAACTATTTGATAAATGTTTGGGGATACTGTTCAAAAAACAATTTTAATAAAATATCTGCATTATATAAAAAGACATTGAAAGTACTGTATCGTTTACCATATGATACACCAACAAATCAATTATATAAAATAACTGAATCATTCTCATTAGAAGAAATGTTCAAAATCGAAAGACTGAAAATTACATACAATATCATAAATAAAAGATTGAAATCTAATTTTATTTTAACACGAAACAATGAAATTCATAATTATCAAACTAGACAACATGGTTTATTTCATCTTGATATCGCTAATACTTCTATAGGCCAAAAAAGATTCACCCACGCTGCTCTCTTGGAATATAACAAATTACCAGATAATATAAAAAATTGCAGAAATACAATAAAATTCAAATACCATCTTAAAAAATTTATCATTTCTGAACGAAATAGATGACTTACTTTTGATTCATATTCAAATTGATTTTTGCTCAGCAATATGAAATGATTTGTCAAAATTTAATAATTAATGTTTTCAAATATTTTATTATTCATCAGTTTATTATAATTGTATAGTTAGGTATTATTGTTAACTATACTTCCTTATACCAGAACTTGATTCTGACTGGAAGTAACATTTTCAATAAATAAATAAATAAATAAATAAATGATCTACTGCGATATACAGGGTGAGTCATGAGGAACTGTACATACTCCTACCACGAATAGATGCCCCTGAGGGCAATACCGAATGTCCATCAGAAAGTGTCTTCTTCACTTCTTTTCCAATATATAGGGTGAATTATGAGATTTGGCAAACACATCTTTTGGTCATAACTTCTCAACAGTTTCTTCGATTCGTCTGATCGACTTCAAAATCGTGAAAATCCAGGACCGTTCTTGAAAAATTTTGATAGTTCAATTAATAGCAAATTGTTCATCCTGTATATCGTTTTTGTAAATTGTGACAGGGAATTTTCAAAGGCCACACACAAACATCAGAAATTTTTCTCACACTTTCACTGCAGTCTGAAAAAAACTATGAATTTTATGGAGAAACGAAAATTTGGCAAAAAACATATTTATTTGGAAATTGATGCTTCGTAACTCATGAATTTTACGAATAAAAGTGAGACTTACATTTTCAATGCTTCAGCTCAATGGAAATCAACATATTATTTTATTTTCAGACCTGGATTCAGTAACTAAAATTTTTAGTGGAGGATAATAATCACCCTGTAGATCTTTTTCGAATCAGTGAAACTTTTGATGGTCATCGCTAAACATAATTTTATGATTTCAATTCACAGTTCTATCTATTTTATTCGTTTTATTCAGTTAATTTGGTCACTTATTTCCCGTACTAGAATTATTATCCGCCTTTGTCAGTATAGCTGTTGAAAAATAATTGTGAATAAACCTTTATTTTCTGTTCAAATATCTTGAATTATTTGATTCAATGACCATTCACATCTGAACCGATACCCGATCCACTGATTTGAAAAAGATCTACAGAGTGATTATTCCCCTCCACAAAAAATGAAATAACGAAAGCCAGGCCTGGCAATGAAAATACATGTTGGGCTGAAGCATTGAAAATGTGCGTCTTACTTTTATTTGTGAAATTTATGCGTGGCGAAGTAATTATTTTCGAATGAATAAATTTGTTATGAAACTTTCGTTTTTGCTTATAGTTTTCGTTTTTTGAAAAATTCTGTGAAGGTGTGAGGAGAATGTTGAATACTTCATTCATATACAGGATGGACTTTTTGAAAAAAACTGAACTATCGAAATTTTTCACAAATGGTCCTGCATTTTCCCGAATCTGGAAATGTCAGTCGATTAGGGTTTAGTAGAGGAATATTACATAAAAAAATCAGATGAATCAAAGGAGCTGTTGAAAAGTAATGCTCAAAAGATGTTTTTGCCAAATTTCATAGTTCACCCTATTTATTGGTGAAGACGAGAAGAAGACACTTTCTGATGGTCATTAGGTATTTCCCTCAATGAAGAGTATCCGCGGTAGCCAAGGTCATCATGTGACGTTGCGATGACATAAAAACTACGGGAAAACATTCCTACCTCCTGGCTTAGATTGACAGTTAGACATGTTTTTCCGTATTTTTTATGTGATCGCTACGTCAGATGATTGATGATTACCTTGGCTACCGCAAATAGTTGTTGTTTTGTTAAAGTGTGGATTTATACAGCATCAATTAACAATTATCAATTTGCAATTATCATTTATTCCTATTTTCGATCACTGTGTTCATGCAGACAATTAACAATGGGGAAGACCACTGATTTTTTAAAACGACATTATCGTGAACTCTATACTGAAAAACTACCAGTGAATTAATTTTGAATTTTTTCAAATTGAATTTCAAAACACACAATTCCTGCGCCATTTGAAATTTCATCAATTCATTGATGTGACTGGTGCGACGTCTCAGTCCCAACACGCCTATTGTCATTGAACTGACCAATTACACTGCAACACTGCAGAATGACGAGGTATCAGAGAGAGATAGCTACAGTTCGGGACTAATACGTCACGACTCCACCATCATATTTGGCTGTTTGAAATATCGAATGGAATATGCTGATTTCAAAACGATATAGATTCGATTCCCTTCAACTTCAACTCATAATATTGATTGTACATAAAATGTAAATCATGATTCGTCGATTGAAAGAGGTTTGCACGGATTTCTTCCCTCAGTGGTCTTCCCCATTATCATTTATCAAATAACATGTAAAATGTTGATAAACTTTTAATTTTTCACATTAATTGAACCAGATTCTCTTATTGTGCGCAGCTAGTACGCAGGTGACCGATGATTGGTAATTGGAATATGATAGAAACTGATCAGAAAAAATTTCTTGGCTTTGTGTTTCGGTTCACTTCTCATTATTCCAATTTTATTTGAGTATTGGCCCCACTTGTGACAATATCCCATAAATTTTATGAACAACTTTGTTGTTAGATTATCTTGAAAGGCTTGGAATGGACCTCTGCGCCTGCGTAATTTTTGTTTTCAATTGTTAATTTGGTTTGCATAAATGGTAACATCTTGGCTACTCCTTACTTGATAATTTATAATAGGCGAGTGAACTAATTTATTTTCATTTCTTAAATAGAATAATCACTCAAATATCTTTCAATTCAATATTTTTCAAGAATTTTTTGGTCGATTTCTAGGTGCTAACATCATCAATAATGCCAGTAATATCATCAATAATGCCAGTAAAAACTGACGCCACGATTTCGTGAGTAGGAACAGGCCATAGCACAGTTGCCATGTGGTGAAATACGATTGGGAACATCAGAAATATCAGTTAATCAATAATTCATGAATTATCAATTGAGTATTGGTAATATTCCAAATTAGCAATAAATATTCAATTGTCTCGAAATGTTCCCTTATGATTTGTGACTTATTGCTCATAATGAATTTGTGTAAATACTAATTATATCAATTCACACTAAAGGACATTTTTTTTATCGCTTGGAGCGATAATGTTCAAAGAACATCGCGCGTTCCTAGGGAGGACAGGGACAGGAGGTAGGTATTGGAA